CCTTTTGGCCGTACGTTCACTTTTAGTATGGTTTCCACGCAATCCTTTATAAATGAGACCCCAGAGCTTTTTATTTGATACGTTTTGTGCAGCTTTAATTTGTCAGGAGGGCAAACATCCTTTTCAGACACATTTGTCTCCCTGAAGAACCTGTTTTATTTTTAACTGAAGAAATGATAAATATAAATAACAGGAGCACATTTATCTGTTTTTGTTTTTAAAAGCTGAAAGTTTCAGCAGCTTTGTGACAGGATGATGACTGGTTTGAGTTTAGAAACGACACGAACAGAGACGAGCTCTGAAAAGATGTAATTATTATTATTTAAATTTAAAAACACATTCAGGTTGGTTCAAACATTAACAGACTCAAGGAAAACAACCACTTGTTTACTTCACAACATGACTTGTTTACTTCACAACATGACTTGTTTACTTCACAACCCGACTTGTTTACTTCACAATACGACTTGTTTACTTCACAACATGACTTGTTTACTTCACAACACGACTTGTTTACTTCACAACACGACTTGTTTACTTCACAACACGACTTGTTTACTTCACAACACGACTTGTTTACTTCACAACATGACTTGCTTACTTCACAACACGACTTGTTTACTTCACAACATGACTTGTTTACTTCACAACACGACTTGTTTACTTCACAACACGACTTGTTTACTTCACAATATGACTTGTTTACTTCACAATATGACTTGTTTACTTCACAACACGACTTGTTTACTTCACAACACGACTTGTTTACTTCACAACATGGCTTGTTTACTGTTTACTTCACAACACGACTTGTTTACTTCACAGCACGACTTGTTTATTTCACAACACAACTTGTTTACTTCACAACACAACTTGTTTGTCTTCTAGTGTCTCCTTGTGTCTCCTACTGTCTCCTACTTTCTTCTACTGTCTCCTACTGTCTTCCTGTCTTCTCGTGTCTCCTACTGTCTTCTCGTGTCTCCTACTGTCTTCTAGTGTCTCCTACTTTCTTCTTGTGTCTTCTAGTGTCTCCTTATGTCTCCTACTGTCTTCTCATGTCTCCTACTGTCTTCCTGTCTTCTCGTGTCTCCGACTGTCTTCTCGTGTCTCCTACTGTCTTCTCGTGTCTCCTACTGTCTTCTACTGTCTTCTACTGTCTTCTCGTGTCTCCTACTGTCTTCTACTGTCTTCTAGTGTCTCCTTGTGTCTTCTAGTGTCTCCTTGTGTCTCCTACTGTCTTCACGTGTCTCCTACTGTCTCCTACATTCTTCTAGTGTCTCCTACTGTCTTCCTGTCTTCTCGTCTCCTACTGTCTTCTCGTGTCTCCTACTGTCTTCTCGTGTCTTCTCGTGTCTCCTACTTTCTTCTTGTGTCTTTTCGTGTCTCCTACTGTCTCCTACTGTCTTCTAGTGTCTCCTACTTTCTTCTTGTGTCTTCTGGTGTCTTCTCGTGTCTCCTACTGTCTTCTCGTGTCTCTACTGTCTTCACGTGTCTCCTACTGTCTCCTACTTTCTTCTAGTGTCTCCTACTGTCTTCTTGTCTTCTCGTGTCTCCTACTGTCTTCTAGTGTCTCCTACTGTCTTCTCGTGTCTCCTACTGTCTTCTCGTGTCTCCTACTGTCTTCTCGTGTCTCCTACTGTCTTCACGTGTCTCCTACTGTCTCCTACTTTCTTCTGGTGTCTCCTACTGTCTTCCTGTCTTCTCGTGTCTCCTACTGTCTTCTAGTGTCTCCTACTTTCTTCTTGTGTCTTCTACTGTCTCCTACTGTCTCCTACTGTCTTCTAGTGTCTCCTGTCTTCTAGTGTCTCCTACTTTCTTCTTGTGTCTTCTAGTATCTCCTACTGTCTCCTTGTGTCTCCTACTGTCTTCACGTGTCTCCTACTGTCTCCTACTTTCTTCTAGTGTCTCCTAATATCTTCTCGTGTCTTCTAGTGTCTCCTCGTGTCTCCTACTTTGTTCTCATGTCTCCTACTTTCTTCTAGTGTCTCCTACTGTCTCCTTGTGTCTCCTACTGTCTCCTACTTTCTTCAAGTGTCTCCTACTGTCTTCTCATGTCTTCTAGTGTCTCCTCATATCTCCTACTGTGTTTTCATGTCTCCTACTTTCTTCTAGTGTCTCCTACTGTCTTCTCGTGTCTTCTAGTGTCTCCTCGTGTCTCCTACTGTGTTCTCACGTCTCCTCCTTTCTTCTAGAGTCTCCTACTGTCTTCTCGTGTCTTCTAGTGTATCCTCGTGTCTCCTACTGTGTTCTCATGTCTCCTACTTTCTTCTAGTGTCTCCTACTGTCTTCTTGTGTCTTCTAGTGTCTCCTCGTGTCTCCTACTGTGTTCTCATGTCTCCTACTTTTTTCTAGTGTCTCCTACTGTCTCCTTGTGTCTCTTACTGTCTTCACGTGTCTCCTACTGTCTCCTACTTTCTTCTAGTGTCTTCTACTGTCTTCTCGTGTCTTCTAGTGTCTACTCGTGTCTCCTACTGTGTTCTCCTGTCTCCTACTTTCTTCTCGTGTCTTCTAGTATCTCCTTGCATCTCCTACTGTCTTCTCGTGTCTCCTACTGTCTTCTCATGTCTCCTACTGTCTTCTAGTGTCTCCTACTGTCTTCTAGTGTCTCCTTGTGTCTCCTACTGTCTTCTCGTGTCTGCTACTGTCTTCTAGTGTCTCCTACTTTCTTCTCGTGTCTTCTAGTGTCTCCTACTGTCTTCTCGTGTCTCCTACTGTCTTCTCCTGTCTCCTACTTTCTTCTAGTGTCTCCTTGTGTCTCCTAGTGTCTTCTCGTGTCTCCTCCTGTCTCATAGTGTCTTCTCGTGTCTCCTCCTGTCTTACAGTCTGTCTCAGATAAACTGTAAAATGTGAAATTTATTTTTGGGTTAATGCTTTCTTAAAATGTTTTTATTTTTTAATTTGACAGTTTATTTATTTATTTATTTATTTATTTATTTTCTCTGATGTTCTTGTGGACATAAATACAAATAAATATATTTATCTTAAAAAGCCTGGATGTTTCTGGGACTTTAAAAATCCTCTAAATATTCTGAGAATCACTGAGTTTTCTGTTTGAATGGTTTTTATTTGACACAAACCAGGGTTGATGTGACTGAAATACTAAACTAGAAATTAACCCTCCGACATAAAGAACTAACCCTGTAAAACTAAAGTCGTTCTATAAAAACAAAGATGTTGTACTTCTTCAGTGAAGATTGATCCGATTCAGAGATAAGTAAATATCTTAAAGTGAAACATGTTTAGTTATTTTTAGGGTCAAAGTCACTTTAATTTCATTGATTAAAAAGTTTATAGAATGTCTTCACTGAATCTCAGATGTGTTTTCTGGATAAATGTGTCAAACATTTTAGTTACCACGTCTGGTTTTGATTTATTCATCTCAGCTGATAAATAAAAAAATACCTAATGTTGTAAATTATTTACTTTGAGGGGAAAAGGATTCCCTTTAATTTGGATTCCAATGTATAATTAAAAAAAACCCTCTTATTGTTATTATTATTATCGTTGTTGTTATTTATTTATTTATTTATTTATTTATTTATTTATTTATTATTCCACTCATAAAACTAAAAGTTTCTGTCCTCGGTTTGCCCCGTCTGTTTTTACAAAACTTCTCCCACATTGGAATTCAGAAACATTTAGTCTTTTCAAAAGCGTCTCGACATTAAGTCATAAATTTAAATCCGTTCAGGCTCGGCGTCCTCTCGTTCTAATTAAGGACGTCCTTTGTCTCCTTCCAGAACCGGGCCCGGTGGGCCGACGGCGGATGTCGGGGGTGTGAGTGCCGCGATGCCCAGGTGACTTGTTATCTGCAGTCCTGCCCCACCTGCCCGCCGGGCAGCCTGTCTGTCACAGAGGAAGGTGGATGCTGCCCCGAGTGCCTCCAGGGTACGTCCAAAACCTGAACCTGAACCTCAGTCTGCCGGGCCAGAACTGTTCTGGAACGTTTGGTTTTCATCACCTGACAGATTCTGTCACCAAATTAAAGAATAATTAGTGATGAAAATGTCTCTTCATCAAGTTTGTCACATACCTGTTAACTGTTACCTAATTAAAGTTCTTTTGTTTAAAGTTTAAACTTTCAACAAGTCACAGTTACATATCCAACAACTTGGACTAATTGTTTAATTATTCAAAGTGAAATACAAGAACACACATAGGCCTGCATTGTTCAGTGTTTCAGGGTTTGTTTAATCAAAACTGGTATAAACAGTTTAAAATGTTTTCCATTCTTAAACGAGGATAGTAACTTCTTTAATCTAAAATGTAAAATTATAAATAAATGTTCAACTTAGAGTTTAGACCTGGTTGATGGTTGGCTCTGGCTTCTGTGGCACAATTTTAATAAGTCTACAGAATATACAGCAAAGAGAAACCTAAACAAGAAGGTTTTAATAAGTCTACATTACGTACAGCAAAGAGAAACTTAAACAAGAAGGTTTTAATGAGTCCACATGACATACAGCAAAGAGAAACCTAAACCAGAATGCTTTAATAAGTCTGCATTACATACAGCAAAGAGAAACCTAAACCAAAATGTTTTAATAAGTCTACATTACATACAGTAAAGAGAAACCTAAACCAGAATGCTTTAATGAGTCTACATTACATACAGTAAAGAGAAACCTAAACCAAAATGTTTTAATAAGTCTACATTACATACAGCAAAGAGAAACCTAAACCAAAATGTTTTAATAAGTCTACATTACATACAGTAAAGAGAAACCTAACCCAGAATGCTTTAAT